AGAGAGGAGGATGGGTCATCAGCGATGGTGTCCAACCTGCCAGTGTCATTTTTCTGGTGACCTCATCGAGCACAGACGAACTAAGAAACACAAGGTGATCTCAACGTTAACAAAAATACCATCAAATCTAATCACCGCAGAAATATCCACATGTACTCGAGGAGCAGCATTTGAACCACTAACTATATGAAAATGCTATGTCTTGTCTCCTCATTAGATGGCAAAAGTGTCCTCAAGACCTTTCTGTACCCTGTGTGAGCGCCACTTTAGAACGCCTCGCAAGTTTGTTGAGCATATGAAGTCTCCTGAGCACAAACAGAGGGTTGAGGAGGTTTGTGTGGGTATTTCGTAGACATTTTAATGCAAAATGCATAAATTAACATCAATAAAATGTATTTCTTTCAACATTTAAGTTAAGAAATGAGGGTGGCCCAGAGGTTATGGAGGAGCTCATAACTGTGGATGCTGTTGGCTGCTTCGAAGGGGAAGATGATTATGAGGAGGATAGAAATGAAGAAGAGATTGCAGTGTTTGAGAAGGTCAGTTGCATGACATCTTGTGCTTTCCTAAATTTGAGTCTCTTTTGGAGTTTTTTTACTTGAATTTTGTTCATAGCATCCTGCTCATAGGGACATGGCTCTTGAAGAGACGATTGATTATGAGGCATATGATCCAGACACACATTATGGTGAGTGCTGGACTTCAAGCACTTCTCTAGAGTAGACTGTCAAAGAATAGTTTGTGAGTAAGTTAATCTGACAGATCTAACTGCTTTCTGACCCTCAGGCACTAGTTTTGTGGTCCCTGTCGCTGGTTTCCTCTGTAAGCTGTGTCATAAATTCTACCACTTTGAGTCTTCTGCACGGGAAACTCACTGCAGATCTCTTATGCACTTCCAGAACTTACAGGTGAAGAAGAAGAGGGAATTTGACATTAGAATTTAGTGGTATATATGGTATCTACAGTTATTCCTTAATGTGTTTGTCATTTAAGTGGCGAGCAAATCTGAAATCAGCTGTTGCAATTTCTTTAAACCTACACCACTGTTCAAAAGTTTGAGGTCGGTAAGATTTTTTTAATGTTTTTAATGTTTTAATCTCTTAGGCTCACCAAGGCTGGATTTATTTGATTTAAAAAAACGTAAAATAAATAAATACATAAATAAATAAAGTAAAATTGTGAAATATCTTTCATTTAAAATACTTGTTTTCTAATTTAATATAATCATTTAAATGTAATCATTTCCAACATCATTACTCCAGTCTTCAGTGTCACATGATCCTTCAGAAATCATTCTAATATGCTGATTTGCTGCTCAAGAAACATTTCCTATTATTAATGTATAGAAAACAGTTTTTGCTGCATAGTGGAAACTGTGATAGTTATACACTACCATTCAAAGGTTTGGGGTAAGTACAATTAAAGACAAAAAAAGAAGAAGAAGAAATTAATACTTTTATTCAGCAAAGACACACTAAACTGGTCAAAAGTGACAATATAGACATTTAAAATGTTACAAAAGATTTCTATTTCAAACAAATGCTGTTCTTTTCATTTAAGAATCCTTAAAAAATCTATCGTCGTTTCCACAAAAATATTAAGCAGCAAAAATTGAATAAGAACCATTATCAATAATTGAGCACCAATTATAACTGATAATAACGGAGCACAAAATCAGAATGTCAGAATAATTTCTGAAGGATCATGTGACAATGAAGACTGGAATAATGACTGCTTAAAATTCAGCTTTACCTTTACAGGAATTAATTACATTTTAAATATATATTCAAATAGAAAATGGTTATTTTAAATTATATTTTCAATCATTTTTATTAATAATATAAATAATATTTGACAATATTACTGTTTTGCTGTACATTTGATCAAATAAATGCCTTTGTGAGCATAAAAGACTTTTAAACATTTTAAATATTTTAATTACTCCAAATTTTTGATGGGTAGTATTGTGAATTTTGACATGTCTGAACAGCTCTGTATGATGGACTGATCAGATCCGTTGAGTGTAATGTGGCTGAGACTATATCACTACTGAGAAATATGGCTGTTTAAATAATGTAAGAACAGTTTTTAAACAAAAAATAAATGTTCAGAAAAGTTAATTCAATGCAAAATGCTCCGATTTGTATTTGATTTTCAGAAGCACAATGCCCTGAAGATGCAGAAAAAGGCACCTCAGGATGACTGTGAGAGGGATGTGTCATGTAGCAGCCCGCTGAGCGACCCTCGAGGCCTGGAGCTCACTGCTTCCTGTGCCAGCGACAGCAGCCAACCAGATCTCAACAGACCACACGTCAATTTCTCAAGAGAGCGCTTACACTTGAGAAAGCTTAAGCCATCTAAAAGACCTCACAAATCCAAGTCTCCACGCTCAAAAAACTCTGTAGCTCCACAGAGCCCTGCCGTGGTTATGAAGCACTTAATATGTACTCCACTCTGTGGCTCAGGGTCAAGCCAACAGTCACACTGCCAAGAAAGCAATAGGCCCGACTCAAGTGTTGCACAGAGAATATGTGTCCAGTGAAAAAGAAAAGACATCCTGTGACCCTGTGCATTACTCAGAAGAGCAAGAAAATATGAGCTCAGCATCCACACGCAGTTTGTGTCATGCATCACAGTTGAACTCAGAGGAGAACACAGTCAAATGAGCTTAAAGAGACCAAATAAAAAAAAAAATCTTCATGTTCACAGGAGTTCATCAAGTGTTTCTGTGAAAGAAAACCATAAAGTAATACTACTTTAAAAAAAGGAAAATAAATGTTCATTTAAATTCATTAATATTGTAAATCTAACTCCCTTTTATTAAATTGCATTTTATATATAATTATAAATAATTGTCATAATTGTTGAATAACAATTTTTATATTTTTATATTTATTAATCTCGGTTGGTGTTGTTAAATGAACTGTAATTAATTGTTAATTCTTATTCATCATTATACATTATTGTTAATACCTATTAACTTAATTTAAGGTATGTTTCAGTCACCTCCATTTAACATCAGTTGGGAAAAGGAAGCAAAAACATTAATATCCACAATTTATGTCTAAAAGTAGAACAGATTTCTTGGTTAAGAATTGACAGGTCCTGTGTCCATTTTTTGTTTAATTTCTTTCTTTCTTTCTTTTTTTTTAATCATAAGAAAATTGTATAATATTATAGACCAGTAATAGATATACAAATATACAAATACATGACTAATGTTTCCATATACGATTTGGACAAGGTTGTGGACATTCTGAATCTCCCTCATAACCCCAATCTGAATACTTGGTGACATACATTGTGGTAAAAAAAAATTTCCCCTCAATTTATTTATTTATTTGCAAACTTGTTAGCAATTGGACAGTCTATGAAAATGTATGTCATTACAAACTGAGAGTAGGCTAGACGTCACAGCTCGAGCTCTATATTCTGGCTGCATTAGTACACGTGGCATGCAGATACATGCGTGTCCTACAGGGGGCGACAGAACTGGTTAAGAATTGACAGGTCCTGTGTCCATTTTTTGTTTAATTTCTTTCTTTCTTTCTTTTTTTTTAATCATAAGAAAATTGTATAATATTATAGACCAGTAATAGACAAACAAATATACAAATACATGACTAATGTTTCCATATACGATTTGGACAAGGTTGTGGACATTCTGAATCTCCCTCATAACCCCAATCTGAATACTTGGTGACATACATTGTGGTAAAAAAAATTTCCCCTCAATTTATTTATTTATTTGCAAACTTGTTAGCAATTGGACAGTCTATGAAAATGTATGTCGTTACAAACTGAGAGTAGGCTAGACGTCACAGCTCGAGCTCTATATTCTGGCTGCATTAGTACACGTGGCATGCAGATACATGCGTGTCCTACAGGGGGCGACAGAACGACCTGCAGGGCATTATGGGGCGGAGATGGCATTCTAGTACACAGTGCACACACGGACGACGGCAAAGCAAGGCTAGTACGAGGCCTGTAACACACCTGCGAGCGGACATAGATATCGATTAAAAGCACACAAACAAGCAAAGGTGTCCTGCAGACGGGAATCGGCTCTCGGATTTCGGTGTCATGGCTCAAAATGCTCTGATGAGCAGCGCGGAGGACGTGGCGGATCAGGTGAGAGGACAGAAGGCCCCGCCAGCCAACTTACACAGTAAATCACAGAGACCACACTTCTTTACTAAACAAACGCTTTCAAAGTCCATGTTTGCGTCTATAGTTCGGGTCATGTTTGCTTGGCTGCAAATGAGGTTTGTTTATTAATTAACTAGTCTTGTGACTAGAACGATAGAAGGACCGAAGTACTAGTGTTAAGATAGTATGTGTGTGTGTATATATATATATACATATTTATATATTCTAGTTGAGTGAAACTACCTTATGCTTTCTAGGGCTGCTTTCGAGTAACGTACTGATATATGACTGTTTGACAAATATTCATACATACTGTATTTTTGTGAATCCAAAATGTTTGAATAGCATGCAAACTTTATCCTTGAATCAATTTTATCAGTGCATTCAAACATCCGTTCATATGATGAAGCAAGAGGGTATGTTACTCATAAAATAGTCATCTTAAGATGACTGATTAGGAAAAGATGAGATTTTGTTGCCCATATGCAATAGGAAATCGACAGCGGGACATTAATGCATTTTTATGTTGTTTACGTTGCAGGATATGCACGATTGTTGCATGTGTGTGTGTGGGGCTCTTTTTCATGCTGTGTTGTTTCTGCTTAATTTGGGCTTAATAGAAATCAACTTTATAAATATGCCATTATTGTATGGGTGTATAATGGAGTTGTGAATGTTGTACCAGTTTTGGTGTTTTCAAGGCCATCAGTGTCATCATCATCTCAGCATATTTATTTATAGCCTAATTTTCAGTGTCATTTTAGTAAGTTGATTAACTTAAACCCCAGCCAGTGACAGCTAACTTTATTGTAGTTTTTTAAGTGTAGTTTTATCATACAGCAACAATATCAAAAATCACATTTGTTCATACAACTCTCATTCAGCATTCCTGCCTTTTTTGACATGTAGCAGGAGGCAAAATCTGTACTCTTTGATATTCTTGTGCTGTTTGGAAACAAGTCAAACAACCGCCAGGCACACAGACTAGGAGTAATGTGTTGACACACAGGCAGACAGTGGCCTTGAGGTCTCTTCTCATTCATTTAGTCTTGCTTGGTACTTGTTGAATGCTGATTGGCTCGTTTTCTTCTTAGTGCTGATGTGGATCGTCCGGGGGCGGGGCTTAGCAGAGGCCAGTGTCAAATCTTGCGTTAGAGTGTCCAGTTATTATGAAACTCTGCCATGTATAGGCAGATTATATACATTTTAGTAATCCTACAATCTGCTTGTTTTTTGATCACAAATAACAGAATTCTATAATTTACCATTGTCTATTAAAAGCATATTATTAATTCTTACTTTTCTTACTTTAATTCAACAAGCCAGCTCATGTTACAGGTTAAGCAGTGAGCATATAATATCCTGTAATCTTCCTGGAAGAGTAAATTGCCGTATCTTTATCCATCTCTGAATATTTCTGTTCATCACCTGTTGCAGGAGGAAGTGGATGATTACTAGCACATCACAGTGATATTAAAATGCTGGAGACGTAACCCTTGTTCTCATGAGTCATCAGTTTCAAATGGATGTGCTTTTGGCCACCTGTGCTCTGATATTGACTGAAAATGTGGGGAAAAGGGTAATTGGAGCTCAGAGGTTAAAAATTAAGCAGCATTCATTTGAAGAGCTGCTTCAGCGCTTACTGGATGTAATATGAAAATTGTGTAAATCTAAAATATTCACACTAGGATGGATTTATAATAGCTTTCTAGAGTAATAAATGTCCTTCTCTTTTATGTTGACTTTTTTAAAAATGTATTTGAAATAAGTCTCTAATGCTCATCAGGGCCCCGTTTATCTGAATAAAAGTACAGTAAAATAGTGAACTTTTTATTGCAATTTGAAATAACTGTTTTCTATTTTTAAAATGTATTTGAGTCTTGTGATGCAAAGCTGAATTTTCAGCTTCATTGCTACACTCTTCAGTGTCACATGATCCTTTAGAAATCATTCTAATATGTTGATTTGGTGCTCAAGGAATTTCTTAATATTATCAATGTTGAAAGCATTTGTGCTGCTTTAATATTTTTGTGAACCCAAAATGTTTGAAATGGCATTATCTGAAATATAAATCATTTGTAACATTATGAATTAAACATATTGATTTCTTTAAATGAATACATGCTACATGTCAAAAAAGGCAGGAATGCTGAATGAGAGCCGTATGAACAAAAATGTGATTTTTGATATTGTTTCTGTGTGATAAAACTACACAAAATTACAATAAAGTTAGCTGTCACTGGCTGGGGTGTAATCAACTTACTAAAATGACATTGAAAATTAGGCCATAAATAAATAAGCTGAGATGATGATGATGACACTGATGGCCTTGTTTCGGTCTTGAAAACACCAAAACTAGTACAACATTCACAAGTTGACCCCAAACGTTTTGAACGGTAGTGTATCTCAACAAGGTCTTTTATGCTGACCTAGGATGTGTGCTCTAATTGTAGTCATGTACATGATCATAAAGCTGTGCCTTTTTCATCAGAAATTATTGCTATAAATATAGTCGCGTTCAGAATGGCATTACATGTTTATTATTTGTGTTTGCTGAGGCAAGCGTTACTGTTGCTGCTGCATATACCTACGTTTGAGGATTTTCATATCTTTGTCTTTTCGTTCATCTCTAGTTCCTTCGAGTGACGAAGCAGTACCTGCCCCACATAGCGCGTCTCTGTCTGATTAGCACGTTCCTGGAGGACGGCATTCGCATGTGGTTCCAGTGGAGTGAGCAGAAAGAATATATCGAGACGACGTGGGGATGTGGCTTCTTCCTGGCCACACTGTTTGTTTTAATCAACTTACTCGGACAGCTGGGTAAGAAGTTTGTTCAACGCAAATGTCTCTGGCGACTTGGAACATCTTCAGATTTTTATATGGAATGGTTTATTATGTGTTTAACAGGTGGTTGTATACTGATCCTGAGCAGGAATTTTGTGCAGTATGCCTGCTTCGGATTATTTGGGATCATCGCCTTACAGGTGAGACTGAGAGCATTCTGTTTGTGTTCTTTAAGATTGTAATTAGATCTTATCTTTGGATAGGACTCTAATTGAGTTAAACTGTATAATTACAGTCCTGAGCTTTATCTGTTTCAGACTGTTGCCTATAGCATTCTTTGGGACCCAAAGTTTTTGATGAGGTAAGTTCTTTGCAGGATAAGCTAGGAGTGAGTAGATCATCCTATGTTTTGTGCTCTGATCTTGTCGTTCTTGACTTCTCTCGTCTGTGTTTCAGGAATCTGGCTCTGGGTGGAGGGCTGCTGCTGCTGCTTGCAGAGTCGCGCTCTGAGGGCAGGAGTATGTTTGCTGGGGTTCCCACTATGAGAGAGAGCTCTCCGAAACAGTACATGCAGCTGGGTGGCAGAGTCCTGCTGGTGCTTATGTTTATGACACTGCTGCACTTTGACACAAGCTTCCTCTCGGTGAGCAAATATCCTCAGGCTGGTAAATGGGTGAATCACAAAGAAATCTCTATATATATTTCATCTAGAAATCAAAAGTAAAAAAGAAATTGTTGCACGTAAAGAATATCCCGTTTTAGGATTCAAAATCTTTAGGATTAAGATTTTTTTTTTCTTTTGTGACATCATTTTCATGACAATTAAGCACCTTTAGCACTAAGTTCTCTTTGCTGTAGAAAATATTGTTCTGATTGGTGTAATGCAGTTATGAAAATTGTCTGG